CTGCGTCCGAGCACAGACACCCAGCACTTTTGTCACACCCGTCGCCCCACTTACCTGCAGCCGCTCGTCTCCTCCACCGTGACCAAGAAGATGCTGTGTTTCCCCAAACTTGCTGGTTGCGTGGGAGGGTACTGAGGGCAGAGTCAAGCTATGTGTGTTTCTTTAGACCAACACAGCTAGGTGCGGGCACGGCCGTGACCGTACACGTGCCTCCACAGCAGTCAGCTAGCTGATGGAGGCAACGGGGGAGCCTTGTGGTCTGAATAGCACTTGAGAACAATGTAATTTTATTAATGTTATTTTATAATGTAATTTTATAATGTTATTTTAGCTTAACTGGCCAACATAAAAAAATAAAACCCAAAGGTTTAATGTCACTTTAAGACAGCCCATTCTCCACCTCAGAGGAGCAATTAAAGCAAATGCACTTTTTTTTTCCTTTTTGTACCCACTGTACAAAATGTACGTTGCCACGTGTTGACAGCTCCTGTACTCACAATGAATGGCGCCACAATGCACAGAGCCGTGTAGTGATTATGCCTATTTCTGCAAGTCTGTATGGGGTTCTGATGCATCAAGAGACATTGTAACATTGTGGAGCTATATAGGGAGCTTTCATCAAGCCACGTATGTCTTTAGGAGAGCCTGGCACTTTCTCCCCAGGATTGAGACTTGAGTCCAGTGTGGCTCTGAAGTGTAGCGGTTTCTGCTGAGGAAGCCAGCTGATTTAAAAGGCAGAGTGCTGGCAACATGTGCATCTTCATTGTGTAATACTGGCGCCATCTGTCCAGAGGTACAGAACCCCCTTTACACTCTGGTCAGATGCTCCATGGTGTGGGAATAGATATAGACTACTCTGGGAGACAGTAGAATAGGTCATTTGGAAACTGCATTAAACTGTAGGCAGATAGAAAAGACAAATTAATGTGGCTCTGCATTCATTATTAAATCACTACTTTTGTGTTTTTATTGCAAACAGCAGAAGTACTAACTGAATTTGACCTGGTATGAGCCCGCCAATCCCTGAACAGCAAAGTGACAAACAAATGTACCTATCGGGCTGCTGCTTTTCCTTTGCATGGATCCCCTGCTGATCGGAACCGACAGGCTCCCTTAGGGTTTACATACATTAGGTGTGGCGGGGGGGTAGAATCAGGTGTCCTGCCCAGCCGTATGTGGCAGAGCTCTGTAAATCTCAGAACTGGATGGACAGACTCACAATCCTTTGCCAGGTAGAAAGCATGCAAAAAAAAATACACTATATTGCCAAAAGTATTGGGACACCCCTCCAAATCATTGGATTCAAGTGTTCCAATCCCCTCCATGGCCACAGTTGTATGAAATCAAGCACCTAGGCATGCAGACGCTTCTACAAACATTTGTGAACAAATGGGTCGCTCTCAGCAGCTCAGTGAATTCAAGAGTGGTACCGTGATAGGTTGCCACCTATGCAATAAGTCCATCCGTGACGTTTCCTTGCTACTAAATATTCCACGGTCAACTGTTAGTGGTATAACAAAGTGGAAGCAACTGGGAACAACAGCAACTCAGTCACGAAGTGGTAGGCCACATGAAATGATGGAGCGGGGTCAGCACATGTTGAAGCGCATAGTGTGCAGAAGTCGCCAACTGTCTGCAGTCAATAGCTACAGACGTCCAAACTTCGAGTGGACTTCAGATTGGCACAACAGTGCGTAGAGAGCTTCATGGAATGGGTTTCCATGGCCGAGAAGCTGCATCCAAGCCTTACATCACCAAGTGCAATGCAAAGCGTTGGATGCTGTGGTGTAAAGCACGCCGCCACTGGACTCGACAAGTGGAGACGTGTTCTCTGGAGTGACGAATCACGCTTCTCGGTCTGGCAATCCGATGGGCGTGTCTGGGTTTGGCGGTTGCCAGGAGAACGGTACTTGCCTGACTGCATTGTGCCAAGTGTAAAGTTTGGTGGAGGGGGGATTATGGTGTGGGGTTGTTTTTCAGGGGTTGGGCTTGGCCCCTTAGTTCCAGTGAAGGGAACTCTTAAGGCATCAGCATACCAAGACATTTTGGACAATTTCATGCTCCCAACTTTGTGGGAACAGTTTGGGGATGGCCCCTTCCTGTTCCAACATGACTGCGCACCAGTGCACAAAGCAAGGTCCATAAAGACATGGATGAGCGAGTTTGGGGTGGAGGAACTTGACTGGCCTGCACAGAGTCCTGACCTCAACCCGATAGAACACCTTTGGGATGAATTAGAGCGGAGACTGCGAGCCCGGCCTTCTCATCCAACATCAGTACCTGACCTCACAAATGGGCTTCTGGAAGAATGGTCAAACATTCCCATAGACACGCTCCTAAACCTTGTGGACAGCCTTCCCAGAAGAGTTGAAGCTGTTATAGCTGCAAAGGGTGGGCCAACTCAATATTGAACCCTATGGACTAAGACTGGAATGCCATCCGTGAGCGAGTGTGTGCCTTTACACACACAAACTTTAATGGCATCCCAGTCTTAGTCCACAAATGGGTATTTAACCATTTGCCTACAGTTCAACTTTAACATGCTACGCAACAGCTGTACAATTCAATGAATGCAGCAGGGGGCATGAGCAGCCTATGTACGCCTAAAGCAGATAGAACTCAGATTTCAGTGTAGAAAAGGTCTTTATTGAAAAGCAAAGCTAATGTCACATGCAGGCATTTAAAATGGTTCTAAAAGCTGTGCTGAACATAAAGCAAGAATTTTAACATGCAGGATATGCCAGTTAAAGTTAACTGAACACAAAAGGACTCGCTTCATAGAAGGGCATAGTTAGATTGCAAACACTGCATCAAAAAGGTCAACAGACGATGTTGAAGTCCTGGAAACATGCAAGAATCTCAGCTAACCTATATAAGAGTGAATGTACATTTAGGATTGTGAAATAGAGTTGTATTACATCTAGATACACCTGAGCTCTGGAGTTCAGGTTCACCCATATTTGAATTATTTTGTTCTTACTAACTTAGTCAGGGACTTATTTGGCAGGTTCTAAACAGATATCTATGGAAGATAGAGTGACAGTGCTAACTCAGCATAAGTGCTGTGTTATGTCACAACCAAGGTACCGTAGGTAATCTAGTCAACTAAGATCCAAGCCATTTAAAATCCCAAATCCTGTCCTAGGCCACCTGAAACTAAATCTGCTTTTGCTGGAACAGCCAGTTTAAACTATTGGACAAACAAAACAAGGCACGTGTTTTAGGTGTCAAATGCATGACACTTCTAAGAGTACAGTTCTAAACAGCACAATTTTTCTTTATCAAAATTCACTTTGGCGGAATGTAGGAAATGACCCTGAAAGTGGATCTATACTCAAACATTTCTGTTTACAGAAGATAAAGGATTAGAACTCCTGCTAAATTTTATTGCAGTTGAAGGCACCATAGGTGTGAGGGGAAATCTCCAACAGCATAACAGAAATGAAACTTAAAGGTGGAGGAATGGAGTACCTGTGGGTTTTTTTTTATAGTCCTCAGTAACTCTGTTGCTGATTTTTCCCTCATTGGTAAAAGGTTGTCCATAACCATAAAACCTAACAGGGGTTCTAACCTCTCCCATTCTAACCAAAACTTTAAAAAATAAAATAAAATGTATTTCCACTTTCACAACAAAATTTTGATAACACTTATTTCAGATTTGTTAGGTGTTCCCTTTCACATAGAATGAAATAAGAAAAAATAAACTGCTTCTTGCAGTTTAAATTGCTTTTCCTTGGGTTAGGGTTTCTTGGCTTAAGAGTTAACATGTCTACTTGCTTCACTCAAAAGCCATATGTATCAAACACTCCGTACACAATGGCTCTGCAGTCCAGCACGTCAACCAAAGGGCCCTACACATGTGTACAGACATTAGACTGGAAGCTTCCAGCAGACGGTCACAACTGACATTTACAGCTACAGCCAGTTGCTCCACACATTTAATAATTAAAGGATGAAGCAAAGCAGTAGTGAGATCTCCTGAGAAATTGTGACCAGTCACTCATGGTTTGACTGAGATCACAGTGAAGATGGGATGAACGGCAGGACCTGCCAGCAAGAACAGAGAAAGGACTTCAAACTATTGGTGCTTAAACATAGGCATGTGTACTGGAATATTATGCACTTTAAAAGGCACTGCTGGAATCACAGTGGGAATTGACCGCTTCTGTACAAAATCATTACCAATCCAGGCTTCCAATCGCCACAGAAAAAGGAGATAATCTTCTGGGTGCTGCTCCAGCAGCTTCTCATTTTCTACCGGAACAGGAATTGCTCACTTGGTACCACAATTTAAGAGAATGCCTTGTATTTTTTGTTCAATGAACACAAGACATTCACTAACTCAGGGGTAGCCAAACTCCGGCTCTCCAGCTGTGGTGAAACTACAAATCCCACGATGCATCTATCTCCGCGAGTCATGTCTGAGAATCTTGCAATGCCTCAGGGGATTTGTAGTTCCACCACAGCTGGGGTTTGGCTATCCCTGCTCTAACTGGAGAAGGTGGAGGGGAAGGGTGGACCTTGACCTCCACTTCAAGCAATTCACTGTGTTCAGTGTGCAAAAGGGGAAGCCGGATCTCGAAGATAATGGATATCACTGTATATTTTCAGCATCTCCAGTGGCCCTCCACATATCCGATATAGATACTTACATTAGCCAAGCTGGACCATTATAAGGTTTCCATAGAATAGAATTCCTGGAATGCTTTAACACAGGAAAAGACATCCATTCTCACTAGCAAAAAACTGAGACATGTTAGGAGAGGTTATCCTGGGCAAGCCTAGAGTGTCTAATCTTCCTGTAAGTGGCAACATATCCCAAATCAAAAACTTCCCGTTTTCCTCAATGCATGGCACTATGGCAATGGAGCATCATGGAAATTGCATACTTCGCTGTGGTGATACACCAAAGGAAAAAAAAAAAAAAAAAAAAACCCTGCTGCATGTAAAACATCCATAAAAATAATAAAAAAAAAAAAAAGCTATGAAAACTCAAGATTTGTTAATTCTCAGCTCAAATTTATTTGATTAAACAGCGTCAACCTAACAGGGTCACAACAAAAAGAAAAAATGTACCCTATTCGCGCCAACTGAAATGTGATGCTCAAGCCTACTGCACCTCTCATTAAATGCAACACCCATACATTTCCCTGGCTGAGATGCATTTTTGCATAACCATTATATATTCCAGTCCCAACTTTATTACATTTTTCAAACTGGTTTATTCATTACTTTGGATGACTATAAATAAGTGTTTCCACTATGGAAAAAGAAAGTGAACACAGTACATTTGCATGACTGGGGAATGGATTTTTGTTTCTCAAGAATTCTTCTGAAGGGCAAAAGCTTAGAAAAAACAACCTGAATGTTTGTACTCAGTTCTTTTTTCTTAGTTACAAAGTCCCTTGTAAAAATAAAAGTACAAGGCTCTAGATGACTTATTGCTTCTCTTCTGTTTTTTCTGGTTTGGCCTCCTCTTCTTTGTCTTTCGCCTTGTCCTCTTTTACAGATAGCTCTTCTAGTTTTTCTGCAACTGCATCAGTACTATCATTTTTGGTTGGGTCTGCTGAAAACAAATCAGGTTACTAAATGAATACAGCAGCATATATACCATAACGTTATTTCCAATGGATCCAGCACGCACTGTTTTCATAGTTTTTTTCTAATAGTAAAAAAAAAACCACAACCAAGTTATAAAACTATTGCCTGGAAAACATTTTCAGCTACTGCATAGTATCGTCATGTTGCATAACTGGTTAAAAGGATCATATCAAAACATTAAGAGGTTTTGCATTCTAACCAGAGAAACCCACCTCAAACTGGATTTTTAGCCTGATTGGAACAGTAGTGTTCCCACAGTAAAGCAACATCCCACCATAGCTATGGCAAGCTAAGCAACTAGTGACAACTTTATTTCTATGGGGACACCACTAGAGGTCAGATATCACCACGTATGTAGTACTTAGTCATGTGAAGTAATAGAACTAGCTTTAAGCTCCTCCTTTTCCCATAGTCTATTTTCACCCAATCTGGATGAGAGAGCATCAAGCCCTTGGGCTATTTTGGCCAGGTCTCAGGCAGACCTGTTATTTCTACCTTAGCAGGCACAACGCCATTCATATAGATGCCTAGTGTAACCCAAACACTGTATGGAACGTGCCACACAACACCAGAACAATATCAAGTAGATCCTAGCCTACCTGGTATTCTGTGTGTCCATGTAGATTAATTTGTGTAACCTTGGAACTGCCCCCAGAAGTGGATAGTAGTGACCTGACCATACATTTATACGATTGCTGGGAGCAGCTCTGAAGTCATAAAAACCTGGAGTGCTTCATGCTGCAAAAGCAGACTTACAGCTACAAGTTGGTGTTTTACTCCACCCCTCGTTTCCCATACCTCACCATTTGTCAGCCAGGCTTGCTATACTGCAATATTAGACTAACAACAAGATATAGAAAGGGGACAGAACAAAGCCCCAAATTACTAGCCAGATCTGCAATATGCGCAACAAAAGTGCGCAGTGCACTCCTAAGGTAATAGAATGTACATGCAATTACCTGTAAGTAGGGCCGTGGAAATTAAAGATTAATTTCTCGATTAATCGTTAAGTTTTTGATCGATTAAAATGATTTTGATCGCTAATGAAAACACTCACCTCTCCGCCGGCAATCCGGAGATGGCCAGGACATCGACGTCACCGGACTCCTCCCCCCTTGCCCAAGTGGCTCAGTCAGCTAACGAAGGGAAGGAGGAGTGCAGTGACGTCGATGTCCGTGACGGCTAACGAAGGGAAGGAGTGTCACCGGACTCCCCCCCCCCTCGTTAGCCGATGGAGCCACTTGGGCCGGTGAGTTTGCCCAATAAAATTTTATGCACGAGCGCCAGCCAAGGCATTGGCCTATACACATACAGCACAGCAACAAAGTAATAAAATGAACTAGGATCACACTAATCCAGCACGTTATTATTCTGAGTTGCCCCACTCAAGCGGCGGCCATATTGAGAGGGACACGTGAGATTAATAACGTGCTGGATTAGTTCATTTTATTACTTCATTGCTGTGCTGTATGTGTACAGGTCAATGTAGTTGGATCTGTACGTGCGTTATAATCGATTAAATTTAATCAAAGACGAAAATTTTAATCATTACCAGCCATTCAGCTAAAGTCTTTGTATATATAAAATTATACCAGGTAGGCTTTAAATAAAGAAACTCTGTATACCTGTTCTGCAATAAAAGCTACTTGTCTACCTGACAGCAAATTACTTCAGATAGTACACTCAGCATGCAGTTCAGTGTACAATCTCAGCATGCTGTGGTGCTGGGACAAAGTATCTCCTGTGTGAATGTGCAGGAGTTACATCATCTCAGGTCGGCCAATCACGAAAGCCAAAGACACCAAAACTAGAAGACCGCCTGGTGAAGGAGGGCTCCGAGAGGCAAGTGGGCCATGCAAATGTATACATTAAGGCAAAAGACTACAGTTCCACTTTAAGAGACAACACCTTTACTAGAAATATATCCTAAGGCTCATAGTAACCAATTTAAATCTCTAGCTTGCTCTAGGGATTACAACTGGAAGCTCTCAAGCTGTTATGGGAAAAAAACCCCTTCAACCCAACATCTCAAACATTATGGAGTCCGCATTATGCCCAAAAAGAAACGCTATTCCAGGAAGGGTTCGATTCATCCAGAAAAGGACAGGTGGTCACCTCAACCCAGGCCTGCTCCATCTCCTAATGTGATGGTAGGAGTCTGATGTGAAGGGGGACTGAAGACTCAGATGTGAAGGAGGGGGCTTTTAATGTGTTTGAAGTTCTAAAAACAATGAATATCCCAAGATCACAGAAAACTTTCCTTGAACAGAAAGCAGTATTGATATAATCCTGGTTTTTCTATAGCAGACAGAAAAAGTGCCATTACTGGAGGTTTGCAGTTAGGCACAGAGTGAGTCTGCAAAAAAAGAAATGAGTTTAATTTACCTGGTTTGTCCTTAACTTCACTTTTGCAATCATCAAACTTTGCCTTGAACTTCTGGGCATCTAAAAAGGAAAAAGCAGGCATATAAGCACATTTTACATTAAAAAGCAAACATGTTTATACACAGTAAAGCTATTGGAAGTGAAAAGCAAACAGACTTGAAACAGTTCTGTAAATACATGCAGAGAAAATTTAAAGAGAACCTTTTACCAAATGGAGGTGGAAACCGATCTGCAAAGGGTCATGGATGTAATTAGAGTTCTGCAAGCAGGTACTCCAGTCTGTTCTTTTGGATAATTGAAAAAAACTTTCCCCTTTCATGATTGTTTATGTTTATTATTTGAATTATCTGGCTGGAATGTGACATACTGATGTCATAGGAAGTTGGGGGCAGTTCTTTACCGTGTTTCTATTTGGTGATTAGGTTTTTCTGAATAAAGTGTAGCTGGGAGTTGTAGTCTTCTATAACTGGTGCCATTCTGCATTTTTGGATACATTTTCCTTTATGTTTACATTGCTTTATGGTGATATTGTAAATGTTATTTATCTTTTTAACTTTATTCTGAATAAAATATTTAACAGTGTAATTTCATAAGATAATTTAGGAGGGTGTGTTTAGGGGTGGAGTTAAGGCCAGGGTAGGGGTTAGGTGGGGCAACTGATGGCAAGTAACTTTTAAGGCCTGGCTAGTAGCTCGGGGCTACAAATTTTGAGCCCTGCTCCAGTCTAATGTAAAAAAAAAAAAAAAAAAAAGGTAAAAAAAAAAAAAAAAAAAAGGGAAAACCAAAAACTTACAGCACAACTCACTAACACCATGGGCATATTTGACAAGATTCCCTTCTCACATTATGAATCTGCTCCTCGGATCCCCCTCCACACAGTCTCACTCTTTTCTCTTCCTACCTGTTGTGTGTCTGTATACCTAGGTATCGAGACTGGCTCCTCTGCAAGCTGGCATGTGCTGCTCTTTGTGATTTTATCTAGCAGAGCCTCTGTTCCCTAGCAGGTATGATCGCGGCTTAACAGATTACCACCTGCAACTTCCTGGAACTAAGTCGCTGATCGGCCAATACTGTAGTGCAAGCCCTCCTTGGTCTCAGTCCATATACTTAATGCACAGCATAGCATTGATTTTTACTCACGAAGACCAACCCCATGCTAACTGAGCTTCTACTGTCTGCTTTCCTCATTTATTAGTTTTCTGTGATATACCTTGTTTAGCCTCAAAAGATCTGTACTACTGTCACACTTATCTGGTTTGATTCCTTGTAAAGTTTTATGTTTAATACGGTTGACATATTTTGTACCACAATATACTTCATAAAAATGTAAACCAAAAAAAAAAAAAAGTAGGATACCATTTTAAAACAAGGAACCTTAAAGTCATTACACATACAGATTAAAGGAAAACACTCAAGAAAGACAGGCTATCCCTGCGGAACTAAACATTTTCTTTGCCACCTGCCTGGCTATTATAGTTGAATCAATGACCCAGAAAAAGGCATGCAGCAAGTAAAGCCAGAATTTCTGATTCACATACTTATTTCAGGTGAATGACAAAGCATTAAAAAAAAAAAAAAAAAAAAAGGGAAACAAACAACATTTTTTTTTGGACTTTTTTTACAAAAAATGACTTCCACTTTGAAGATGCAAATATTTTTTTTTTTGTGAAAAACAAAAAATTAAAAAAAAAAAAAAAAAAAAAAGGGAACATACAGCAATTTTGTATGGTCAGAGGCCCCTGAAGAACACAGGACCTGAAACTGACCAGAGCCACAAATGACTCCGCTTGGTCACTGTATGCAGAGATGCCTCTGCTAGGTACAATGAGGTATCATTTAATCAAGTAAGGTTTTTTTTTTCTAATAAGGTCAATCTAAAAGACATATCATGTATTATGTAGTCATTTCTCCAACCACCAGGTGGAGCTCTAGGTTGTCTTAGCTGCTCTCCATCTAAGTGTTGGAATAAGCCCATTTACACGGCTCAAGTTGAAATCTACACACAACTGACAACACATCGCAGTGACTCGCATCAAACAGCTCAGACCCACTTGACCACAATTACTGATGTAATCCCTTTTCTTTTTAGCTCTAGTGCTTTGGGAAGCATTGTTCATGTATAAAAAGTTTATATACATATAGTAAAAGTCGATATGAAGACGGCTAAACCCCCCACCAAAAACGTCTCTAAAGAAAACGAAATTAAACTCAAATCATTAGTTATAGTATTATATGCAGAAAATATTGCTCGGAATCAAATCCAATAGTTACATACCTTAAAACAAAAACACTGCTAAAAAAAATAAAAAAAAAAGATAGAATTTTTACAAAACCAAGCAAAAGCAGAAACCTACTTTAATAGTTTTGCTTTTTTAACCTACTTTATTTAGAACAAAAATTCAACCTGAACACCATATTCAAGTAAAGTAACAACTTCAAACCAATACGTTTTGGCTATACTATCTCTTAGCTGGATTATGCTGGAATGCTTTTGGATGCATGGCAGAAGACTACTGGAAATAAACATCCTACAATCTAAGCCCTCGTTCACACCTGAACGTTTTGTAGCGCGTTCTACACTCAAAGAACGCTCTACAAAACGCTCAAAAATATAAATTGCATTGGAGTCAATGGACTCGTTCCCACCTTACCGTATTTCCGCCCGTCCCGAACGCGCTACAAAACGGCCCACGCCTGAAAAGGTACAGGCACTACTTTGGGCCGTTTTGTAGTGCGTTTTCCATTGGAATACAGCCAAGTAGCCTTTGGAATTGCGCGACTTTTTTACCGCGAATCGCGATAAAAAAACGCGCGACAGACGCACTTTTGCAATACGCCTAGGTGTGAACCCAGCGTTAGCTTTACAGTATTGTCAGTTTCAGGTGGTCACTGCCATTAATCACCAATTAGCGGCTTACAACCATAAGAAAAAAGTTACAAAAATAGCGCTCATCAGCCAAAGCTAGATACATATCAAAACTCAAAAAGTACTCACTTTCTGCATTTAAAAATCGAATAGCAAGCAGCTCAGGCTTTGGCGCTTCATCCGCATAATCTGCATATGTATTCCAGACCCAGGCTCTGTCGCTTCCTGCATTGGGTTTTAGCTCCATTGCAGGTGTAACTGATAAGACACAAAAAGCACCAAACAGTTATGCATTTATGCACATCATATCCATGAAAACATTCTCTACCATACATAAAGATTCATCACTATAGGAGCTAGACTCAGAAGGGGGTGGGGGGCAGAATACATACTGAACTGCAGGAAGGCTCTGAATGGGAGCAGGTATCACTGTGGGGGGGATAGGAGTGGTTCTGGAGGGGGCAGGGTACTCTGCACAAGAATTGGCGGCCTGTGGGATAAGGATTCTCGGGGCTTTGTAGGGACAATTTGGGAGAATGGAAAGCACAGCAGGTGCTGGGTGGCACATGAGGAACTGTTGGTGGCACTATGACTGGCCTAAGGCTCTTTTGCAGGCTGGGTGGCATTGCGTGATACTGTTTGAAAGTTGGGGGGACTATGGGAGGTTAAAGGGCATCGCAAAATTGGGAGAGTTGTCCCTAGATGCAGCGCTGCCACAAGGGTGGGGGTGGCTGGGTGTAGTTGGAATGATGGGTGTGCTGCTTCTTATAGATGCAGACCGGGGTGTCTGTCATTTGCCAAGGGGATCAAAGAAAAAGGGGAGTAAAGAAGCGCTACTACCATATATAAAATGAATGGAGATGGCCAACTTACCAATGGATGGATGGTGGAGCGTGATCAGCGGCGAGGGGTCGATGGGTGTGGGTCCATCAATGGTGATCACTCAGGGCGATGTGTGAGCAAGTAGGGGGTATGTAGGTCTCTGCTGTGGTGGCTGAGGGGGGCACAGTGTAGATGCTGGCCTGGGTATGTGTTTGTGGGAGGGGGGCTGGTTATTGCAGGCACAGTGATACACATACCCAGGCCAGCATCTACACTGTGCCCCCCTCAGCCACCACAGCAGAGACCTACATACCCGCTACTTGATCACACATTCCCCTGAGTGATCACCACCCTCACCATTCATGGACCCACACCCATCGACCACACGCCGCTGATCACGCTCCACCATCCATCGGTAAGTTGGCCATCTCCATTCATTTTATGTATGGTAGTAGCGCTTCTTTACTCCCCTTTTTCTTTAAAGGGCATCGCAGGCTGTTATGAGAACTCAGGGGCAGTATGGGAATTGGAGTAACTTTTGGGATATGCAGCTTGCTGAATTCTCTCTGGGGGCACAAAGGGGGCTGAAGGCAGCCGATATTCCACCTCCCTTCAAACCAGTTATCATTAACTGCTGGGGTGGGAACAGTGGAGAGCAGCACAGGAGTTTGCATGGATTTCCTCCCACACTTCAAATACATGCTGGTTAACTGTCTCCTGTCTAAATTAGTATGTGTATGTATACAAGGGGGGGTAGGGACCGTAGGTTGTAAGGTCCTTGAGAACCTTAACACCAAAAGTAGGAGGGGAAAAAGGGGGAGAGGAGGGTGCAAGTCCATGGTAAAATTGTCTCCAGCAATCTCACAAAGTTTCTACTTTCATAACCTCTGCTGGCTTTTACATGTTAAAAGAACCAGTACATAAAGTCTTGTCACTTACCGTAATGGTTTGCACAAATTTTTAGAGTCTTATCTCTTCTCATCAAAAGGCGGATTGTTCCCTTATCCTTGTGTTTGAGGAGTTTTACATCACCAGTGCCCCGTTCTTTCCACTCAGGTGGGTCATTTTCAGAAGCAAATCTGAAAAGCTTTGCTCTCCTGTTGAAAAGAATATACACAAGACTTAAGAAATGAAGAGGAAATACTGAAAAGGAATTTGAAATGAGCCGTGATTGTGATAAATGTTAACTCTCACATGTTGTGCACAGTTTGGGCAAGTCATTTGGCAATCTGTTTAAATAGTTCCAAATAGTTCCAAGTTTAGCATAATACTTAGAGAAAACTTTATACAACTTCTATTTTGTTGATAACCAATTTAATTTTCTTGGCTTCTTTTAAATATTTTACAAATATAAATAAGCTGGTGTAGCTAGCTAGGACACTAAAAAGGAAGAGACTTCAGAATAGTGATGCACAGATACAGACGCTAGTATCGGTGCCGATGCTGAGTATTTGGGCAAGTACTCATATTGGCCCAAATGCTCCCGATACCAGAACTTCCGGTATCAGGAAGCCAGTCAGGCGCGTCAACACACACCGCCCAGCGTCCTAACTGGTCAGGAAGCTGGCTCCGTGGCTAATCAGGGAGCCGGGGGGTGGGTAATGACTTGCCCCCCAGCTTCCCGATTAGCCATGGATTTGGCTTTCCGCCCGGCGAGTCATAAAACGCCGCCCAGCTTTCTTAATGAGACTTCCGGTATTTGTAAGTACCAAGAAAAAAAAACAACTAAATAATATCGGTACTCGATACCGAAAAACCGGTATTTGTGCATCCCTACTTCAGGGCAAGCAACTTGCAGAGTTCCATCTACTTGCTGCAAATGGCCAATAATAAAATGCTCATGTACAATATTTTGTGTTTACGCCATTAAAAATAATCACTTTTTAAAAAAAATACTGAACATAACTAACCCCTTATCGACCTATGACGGGATTATTTCGTCAGGGTCTATCAGTAACTGATGAGCGGTAAAAGCTTTTAAAGCGTCACCTATGGCCAATTTTGGGTATAGTAGTTTATGCGAGTTCGGACGCACGCAATTTTAAAGCTTAACATGCATGGTGTCTATTTACCCGACGTGACCCCGACTTATATTTTGCCAAAAATTTGGGTATTAATAATTGTTTTAACATAATATAGGCAAAACTGTTTTCTCCCCCAAATTTTTGGTACTTTTTTCATTATATAGTAAAAAAATAAAAACCTGCACTGGTGATTAAATACCACCAAATGAAAGCTCTGTCACCAAAAAAAAAAATGGTATAAAATTAATTTCAGTACAGCGTTGCATGACAGAATAAATGTCAGTCAAAGTACTGCAGCGCTGAATATGGAAAAATGGCCTGGCCAGGAAGGGGGTGTAAACACCCCGGTAAGCAAGTTCACCCCTATTCTTTCATTCCTCCCTGCTGGGCGCTGCTCTGTGACACAGCGGGGAGGAGAGAGACTGTCACAGGCAGCCCGGCGTCTCTCCTCCCAGCACCACTTAGCCTCATGTTACAGATCAGAACAGCGTGGTGGCGGAGACAGCTTGCAGCTCTGTCACAGGAGGATAAGCTCTCCTTCCTGCTCCGCAAGCTCCAATGCAAACACTCAGTGATCGCTGAGTGTTTGTAGATAATTGAGGATAGAGTATGTGTACTATATTCTCAATTATGAATGAATGGGAAGTGATCTACATCACCTCCGGTTCATTCATAGTTGTGGTTATAGTAAACATACTCTGTCCTCATGTTATGAATGTTCAGGAACACTCAGTATAGAGGCTTCCTGTTTATTGATAACAGGGGCTGCAGAAAAAGAGATTGAGGACTCTGTTCTCAATCGCTTTTTCTATTTTAAAAGGGTCTGTTTAGACCCCCAATATTTCCCCTGAAGCCCCTAAAAGTAAAAAATATTAATACAAAATGAATATTAGATTGAGAGCAATAATTCTAGGGCCATCAATCACTGATAACACTAAACTGATGAGCGGTAAAAGCTTTTAAAGCGTCACCTATGGCCAATTTTGGGTATAGTAGTTTATGCGAGTTCGGACGCACGCAATTTTAAAGCTTAACATGCATGGTGTCTATTTACCCGACGTGACCCCGACTTATATTTTGCCAAAAATTTGGGTATTAATAATTGTTTTAACATAATATAGGCAAAACTGTTTTCTCCCCCAAATTTTTGGTACTTTTTTCATTATATAGTAAAAAAATAAAAACCTGCACTGGTGATTAAATACCACCAAATGAAAGCTCTGTCACCAAAAAAAAAAATGGTATAAAATTAATTTCAGTACAGCGTTGCATGACAGAATAAATGTCAGTCAAAGTACTGCAGCGCTGAATATGGAAAAATGGCCTGGCCAGGAAGGGGGTGTAAACACCCCGGTAAGCAAGTTCACCCCTATTCTTTCATTCCTCCCTGCTGGGCGCTGCTCTGTGACACAGCGGGGAGGAGAGAGACTGTCACAGGCAGCCCGGCGTCTCTCCTCCCAGCACCACTTAGCCTCATGTTACAGATCAGAACAGCGTGGTGGCGGAGACAGCTTGCAGCTCTGTCACAGGAGGATAAGCTCTCCTTCCTGCTCCGCAAGCTCCAATGCAAACACTCAGTGATCGCTGAGTGTTTGTAGATAATTGAGGATAGAGTATGTGTACTATATTCTCAATTATGAATGAATGGGAAGTGATCTACATCACCTCCGGTTCATTCATAGTTGTGGTTATAGTAAACATACTCTGTCCTCATGTTATGAATGTTCAGGAACACTCAGTATAGAGGCTTCCTGTTTATTGATAACAGGGGCTGCAGAAAAAGAGATTGAGGACTCTGTTCTCAATCGCTTTTTCTATTTTAAAAGGGTCTGTTTAGACCCCCAATATTTCCCCTGAAGCCCCTAAAAGTAAAAAATATTAATACAAAATGAATATTAGAACGTTGATAAATTATTTAAAAAAAAAAAAGTTAAAATAAAAACCAATTTTCGGTTTCGGCCAGACTTATTTTGGTTTTGACATTTTTATTTCGGTGCACCTCTACCGTACCTAAATACCCTACTTCTGTCACTGAGAAATCATTGTTTTTTCATAAAATTACATTTTCTTTCAAACTGTATTTTAAGAGTGCACATAACAGGTTTACAAAGCACATTCTGCATTATGATCCTCATATGCAAGGTTACAGGTACAGAGTATTTATATTCAGGAATAGCAGAGGGTAAAAGGTATGTAGTATGAGGCAATAAGATTTAGTGATCAGGTACTCATGAGACTGGATGGAATGGAGAAAAGAGTGATCTCATATATCGTACACTCAAACCTTCAGGAAAATTTGATGAGGGGGATTGTGGGTATGCAAGTAAGTTTGGGAGAGAACGTTGGAGCAGGGCAGAGTATTGGGTAAAGGGAAGGATATGTTGGTGGGGGAAGAGGGGCTATCATCCCTAAGTGGTAACTTGCTGGTCTTGTATTTTAAGGTTGGGTCCAAGTGCTGCAATTTGTACATACAGAAGGTCGAGAAAATCCTTAAACTGTTGGGATTCTTTAAAAATAATCCAGACAGACCACGTCTTGCAATTGGTCTATCAAAATAATATTTTAGTATGGATATACACAACTAAAGCAAAACTTACATCTTAAACACTTCTGCTTCATCCTCCTCTAGAGTTCTAATTTCCTGCTCCGGCAATGAAACAATAGGCTCAAAATGAGGATCGTGATTGGCATCATCTGGGGTTTCTACTACAGGGGTGTCAGGCTCCTCCTGTGTACACTGGAAAAAAAAAAAAGAAAATTTCAAAACACACCGTGGGATATTTGTCAATGTTGTTGCAAATTAAGGCACTGCTAAACAGTGCTGACAGATTTACTATAAAAGTTCAGCTTCAGTCATAAATTCCTCCTCTAACGGCAGTGAAGTGCAGTGGTGGAATGGAGTGCAGGGATGAAGAGGACGGGTATGATGGTGGAATGGGGTGCAGAGGACAGGTATGATGGTGGAATGGAGTGCAGGGAAGGAGAGGTATGATGGAGGAATGGAGTGCAGGGATGGAGAGAGGACGGGTATGATGGTGGAATGGGGTGCAGAGGACAGGTATGATGGTGGGATGGAGAGGATGGGTATGATGGAATGGGGTGCAGAGGAATGGGTATAATGATAGAATGGGGTGCGGGGGCAGTGTGTGGAGCCCTGAACAGGCTAATCAATCGATAGCCGACGAACGAAAACATTGATAACATTTTCAATCTTCGATTTTAAATCGACTAAAATCGATTAACTGTTGCAGCTCTAGTTTAGATACTTTTCCTTTTTAAAATCTGGATAAAATAGAAAGAAGTGATATCAAATACATTCAATGCTTGTACCCATTTGGGAGATTTTCCCTCACATCCTTACATGGTGTCTAATCACAAAGAAGTAAATCTCCAAAATGAGGACAGACAGAAACCTGACAGATGATCTAACCCTTCTTTGGAAAAAAAAAAAGTGATTGTAATGCTGCTCAAATCCATCTTCTCAGGGGCAGATTTCCAGTCCTGGTAACCACACAGGAAGCAAGATGAAAACTTCCCACTGGTGATGGAGAGCTAACGAGTTCCAATCATTTCCATCAAAAAACCAGAAGAACCCCGGGAATATGTTTGCAAGATAAATGGCACATCTAAAGAAACACGTGTATGTGCCTATTGATATGGCCTGCAAAGCAGTAAATTAGAACACTCATGCTGAAACATTCCATTCATGTTCATGAATGAAAACTAGAGCTGTGCTGAACCAGCACTCTGTCAGAGTCTCAGTCATGAACAATAGCAGTGAAACTCAGCAAACCTTTTTTCCCCTCAGCATTTCAATCAATTTAGAGGAACATTGAAGAACACTGCATTTTAGAGATATTACTAAAAAACACAGTAGTGAGATCAGTGTCATTCTTATGACAAGTTCTATGCTTCTTAAAAATAAATTTCAATGAGGGGAAAGTATCAAAAATGGAGCTGTTGTGCACGGCAACCAATCAGCATCTCGATTTCATTTTCAAATCTTAACTGAACTGAAGATAGAAGCTGATTGGTTGCCATGCACAGCTGCTCCAGATTTTGGCTGGTCCAGTTTGGATAAATTCCCCTCAAAGAATTTTAGCTCACAGAACGTGTATTTTTTTTAAAGATACAAACTGTCTTTTAAAGGGATCTGCCACTCCAAATCTCAGCAGGGGACATTTACACTTCAGTTTTTGTACAGTCAGCCACAACCAAATACACAATTGGGCCGGACCATGGGGAAAAGAATCTTTAAGATGGTCAAACATAATAATACAGGATTTATATAGCACCAACAGTTTGAGCAGCGCTTTACAATATAAGGAAGACATTACAATACAACTCAAGACAAGATGGTAAGGAGGGCCCTGCCCCTGAGGGCTTACAATCTAAAAGTGAGGGGGAAGCGATACATGAGGAGGGAGCTGTGGGGGGATGAATTGTATGAGAACGTGATGGTTCAGTGTTTTAAGGTGGAATAGGCATCCTTGAAGAGGAGTCTTAAGGGATCACTTAAAGGCAGTCCGAGTGGGAGATAGGCAGACAGGTTGGGGTAAAGAGTTCCAGAGGATGGGAGAGACTAGAGAAGTCCTGGAGGTGAGCATTGGAGGAGCTGACGAGGGAGCTGGAAAGCAGAAGGTCTTTGGAAGAGCGGAGGGGACGGTTAGGGTGATACTTTGAGACCAGGTTTGAGATACAGCCAGAGCCGTGAATGGCCTTGTAAGTGGTTAATATTTTGAATTTGATCCTTTGGGCTATAGGAAGCCAGTGCAGGGATTGGCAGAGGGGGGGGGGGTTGCAGACACTGAGTGGTTAGTAAGGTGAATGAGTCTAGCAGCAGCATTCATGATAGACTGAAGGGGGATAGCCTGTGTAGAGGTAGACCAACGAGGAGGGAGTTGATAATCTCCCTCAAAACATGTTTCTACAATAGATGTTAAATAGTGAACATGCATGTCAAAAGGTGGACTTTTCAATGGCAAGACCCACACAATGTGACCTTCTATTCCTAGGAGTTTCACATCATCTCCTCTATAAACACACCACAACTGTAGGCTGAGAAGAAACCTATACTAGTTAAATTGGTTTTGTTTTTTTTGCTGAACAATGAACAAAATGTACATTAGGTACTTACAGTGGTCAAAAAAGTGGGAGTGTCACTACATATGCACAGAACCAGCCTTGGGGTTAGGGAGACGGGGGAAGGCAAAGGGAGACAGGGGACTAAGGGAATCCAAAAGTCCTCCAACTAAAAACCAGCACAGTAAAGTCTTCTTATATGTTCCAGCCAATCGCATATCATAGAAATAAGATGCAAATCATTCCTTTACAACCCATCAGCCAGATACATGTCCGGAATCACTGATGTATAGTACAAATATAACCTATTATTAGAGCCATTCATTCCAAACTAGATTCAGCCTTTTGTCTATCAGGAGTGCAGTGTAAGAAAGCCATGACTTGTATGGAGTTGGACCAAAGGAGACACAGAGACAATAGTTACAAAAGTACAAGTGATTGGAGGAGCAATGAATGCAGCAGACAACCCAGGGACACGTGTTTCCATTGAATAGAAGAGGCTCCAAGAAGGTGGACACCAGGCAACAGAGTCCACCTACTTCAGGAGATCTGTATAGCCTCAATTCAGTCACCAAATCTCATGCAGCTTCTACCTACCTTCCACCTCCTCGTAGACTGTAAGTTCCCTTTATATATTATTAAACCCAGTGGCGAGCCTCGCCTAGTACTGCAGGCACTGCACAACAATATGTAGCACCCCGACTATAGCACGACCCCCCATTCCATGGTTTATACCGGAAAGCACCCGGACTTCGGTACGCAGCACACATGGGCCCAAACAAAAGAAGGAACATCGGGGGTGTACGAAACAACATAGTTTAGTGCCGGTTTGTGGGGAGAACCGGCTTAGGTCTCACCTGCCAGGAACAGGGCCGGCCCTACGACTCAGGCCCCCGCCCCACACTCGCCGCCGGCGCTGCATCCTCACCCCTCTACCGGTCAAATCAGCGCCCTCAAGGAAAGAAGGGTATTAATGAACAGCAGAAAATTATTTTGTACCTTGGTGTCGGCCATCAGGCGGAGGATGGAGGCAGATTACGCGGCAATGCTCCGGGTTCTCTCAGATGTGGAGCTCGGTCCGTGGTTTCGCGCTGTTTTTCCTCCCTCCTACTTGCCGCAAATGCCGTACGTACTATACCCTGCGTAACGTCATGCCGTCAGAGACTCTACCAAGATGGCTCCCCGTAGGCTTCAGTGGTGCCGTAAAATGACGTCACATCCGCCTTCTTGTTTAGTTACCCCCCTGCAACTCTGCAGTGGCTGTTCTCTGCGTATAGTACGTGTAACATGAGAAAAATGGTATCGACGACACGTGAATTGACTGTCAGGGAAAAAAAGCAGGTTGTAATAAAATTACAACAGTCAAGCAACAACTTCCGGCCATGGGAGGTTACGCACGTCGGCGTCCCGTTAGAAGACGTCAGTAACATGGTTGCTCCCATGTGAGGGTGCCATGCTGCTCAGAGTGTTGGCGAGAGCAGGTAAATTAGACAGAACGAGCTTTTGCTTAGTTTGTGTTAGTGGTTTTTCTGTTGCTGGCACATGGCGGTATGCTCTTTGTACAGTGATTGTCTTCCAGTTGTGCTGATGTTAGTCTGCCGTAAAAAAAAAAAAAGTAAAGGTATTGGCGGGATTTATTCTTCATTGTGTAATGAAGTATGTACTGAGATAAATATAAAGGCAGCCTTGACTTCTGAAAATGCTAGTTATCAGCATGTCATATTCATCCGCTGGTTATGTAGTAAACAAACATATATACATATCAGGAAAGCCACAGTGAATCTAAAACACCTGTTATTATAGGTCAGTGATTCACAGAGAGTTCAACAATGGCAGCTGCCCTCAATGAGTACATCTCTCTTTTAAAGTGTGTGTGTATAGGCAAAACCTAGTTTTGGAATAGAGTGTTTAGGCGTGCGTCTCCCTGTCTGGCCTCGCTGGGAATATTCACCTTTTTGTTTATCCTTGTTGACATCACCAAGACAAAGTGTGAGGGGAAAGCAAACATTTTTATATTGTTATTTGAACAAGAGATGAGGGTAAACCATCCAATGGTAACAGCTAGGGCTGTGACCAACTAATCGATTAATTGATAATGAGATTAGTTGTCAACTATTCTCATTATGGATTAGTTGGTTGGATCCCCTAGCTCTCTCCTCCACGCTGGGAGCAGGGCACAACAAGCAGTGGGTGCAAATTGAAATGGCCAATAGCAGCCTGGCTATTGCACAAGCCCACTACCTGCTGTATTTACATTCAGCTGCCATCTGTGGAATTTTGTCACCCGCAGCTGTCATTCCCTGGCTGCAGCTATTCAAGCGCCATGTGCTTACAATACAATTATTAAATTATAAAACGTGGGCAAAAATCATTTTCGGTTTCGGCTTGACAAATTCTGCTGTTGGAGGTGCGTTGCCGTGTCATTCATTTGAATGGCACCCCAAATGCGCCTCCCACCCACAGTGTGATTGCCTACATGGTGCCCCAATGCAGTGCGTTCCAGTGCAGCGCGATTGCAAAAAATTGTATATGCAGTTTTATTCTGAAGTAAACTTTGTAACACTGCATTTGTGTATTTATTTTAAATTAAAGATTGTATTTAATTTGTTTTATCCGATTCATTGAAAAATAAATCTGCCAACTAATCGATTATGAAAATAATCATTAGTTGCAGCCCTAGTGACAGCTGTCTAAGGTAAGAATTCTCTTCACTTTTGGGAGCCTCTCATTTGCTTTTGTGTCTCCAGACAGAAAGTGAAGGGAGGTCTTCCCAGCACGTAGCCAACAGCTTAAAAAATCAGATAAAGGTTCTAACCCTTTCCCTACTCTAGCCAAAACAAAACCTATTCTGTAACTGCCATGCTGCAGTCTGTGTGATTCACAAGCTGTTTGATTCCTAGTCAGACTGACATGAAGTTGATTCCCAAGCCTTTTAATTCCTAGTCAGACTGACATGAAGTTATCTTTGAAATAGAATTAGAGGCAGATGTACAACCAACATTCGATCCGGTTATGTATTTACCAAAATAAAGAACTATAGGCAAAATAAAACATCAGAAATATCTGTGTTCACTATAATAAAACTGTGTACTTTCTATAATTTGTCACTTCCTTGATTTTTGTAAAAATGGAGCTAAATGCTCTGCAGTAAAGCTCGATCTACACATTTGCTGAATTGTCCAGAATTGGAGTTGTGGGTGGCCAAAAGTTTACCGGCCAAACAGTGACTGGATCCAATCAGATGCATTCACTGTTAGGGTATTACGGTAGTCGCCGGTGCTGGCTGTTTGAATACAATAGACAGCAGGTGGAGATTCCTCTCTCTTTGCTGTTTAGCATGGATGGGGCAATCAGTTGATTTCTGCTCATGGGTTGGATGGACCAAAATCTAGCCATGTATGGCTAACCTAAGTCATTGCATTGTTAGGACTACGGGGCTACCTGGTTACGTACATTGAGGAGAATGGCTTCCTGGTTACATACATGTTGTCAGCATTTTCAACGCAGGACACAGCTAGCTCCGTCCCAGGTATTGTGATTGACTGCACATTGTCTGGGGAGAAGAGTGAGTGTGCCTGAAAAGCATCCTTCGAAAGTGATATCTGGACCTCTCCTCCTGTCTCCAGTGTTGTGAGACGTTCTTTAGCTTCTGTGATGATCTCACAGGGCCGAAGAAGAGGATTTCAGAACTTCAGGTTGTAGGTAAGTAACGTAAAATGCATATTGAAGATGAATTGAGAAGGTGGTAAAAATTCCAAAGATATACCCTATAACAGGGCTGGCCATTAGGTCGATCACGATCTACAGGTGATTGCGATGTCCTGTCTTCTCTGTATCCCCGCTGCTCTCCCCCATCTGTATGCAGCGGGGATCTGTGGAAAAGTGAAAGTGAAGCTGCAGTCGTGGCCGAGCCGCTATCACAGCAGTACGCCGAGTGGTGAGGAGAGAGAGCCGCTCGGCCTGGATCTGACAGGCGGCAGCTCTCTCTCCTCACCGCACATGCTGCTCTTACAGCGGCTTGCGGGTGCAGGCGATCGCACTGTGGGCGAAGGGCCTGGCTGCGGTGCCATTGACTTCAATGCACCGCCACGCCTCCTCCCGCCCCTGAACGCAAGTGTTTTTCGTTGGTAGATCTCATTGAGCTTGTCATTTGAAAAATAAATCTCAGACGAAAAATTGTGGGTGCCCCTATAAGGTTTATTTATAAATGATAGCAGCCCTGCAAATGTTGGTGAATGTTCGTTTTAGTTGAATAATGCCAAAAATAAGGCAGTCCCCGACCTTACGGACGTCCGACATATGGACAACCCGTATTTACGAACCGAGCTCCACAGTTCTCCTAATGTGCCACCAGCTGCCGGTACATTTAGGAGAACTGTGGCTGCAGCGGCCTGTGTCCCTTCAAATCGGCGCTGCTCTCTCCGCCTGTGTTGGCGGAGGCAGCGGGGACACAGACCTCTGCATTCCTCCGCTGCCCCCATACCTCCGCTGCTGTCCCGGCCGGCTCCTCCTCTTCTCCCAGTCTGTCCGCTTTTCTTGCCCAGGTCTGACACTCCTCCGGTCCGGCCGCTGCTCCTCTGCCCCGCCCCCCTGCCTCCTCCTCCATACCAAACCTGATATTGGATATTGTAAAATGCAATAGCCATGGCTTGAAACATTTTAGGGTGTCTCACCAGTCAGTCAAAAATGTCACCAGTCAGCATGACCGGACTATAGCCATGCAATTTATGTTAAACATTTTTGGGGACAGATAGAGCTTTCTTTTGGAGGTATATAATCGCCACTGGGGAGGTGTGGTTATTTTTTACTATGTAATGAAAAAAGTACTGTAAATTTCGAATAAAAAAATGTTTTCCCCAATCATCTTCCATCAGGTGCAAGATCAGCGGCTTTGCTTAACTCAGCCAGAAGGGTTATCTGGTTGAAGTCTTGGGAGGGTGACTTAACTTCCTAGAAATACCGTTACCGGTAAGTCTAACGGAACATTTCCCTACGTTATGTTATAAAACATCTATTCTTGCCCATATTTTTGGTAAAATATAAAAGACAGTCACGTCGGGTAAATAGACACCAAACATGCCAAGCTTCAAAATTGCGTGCGCCCGCAAAATCGCAAAAAACGACCACACTGCCATTTGGCCATAGGCGACGCCTAAAACGCTTTGACCGCTCATCAGTTTAGTGTTATCAGTAATTAATGGCCCTAAAATTATTCTCACTCCGATGTTCGCGGCTATATGTAACTTGCTACCGTTTCGGATTCTTCCTCCAAAGGGGGATCCTGGTGCTAGCAGCTCTGAGGTAGGACAGGGGTTGGACCCCCCATTCCTGTTCTTGATCTCTCAGTGTTTGGGAACATGAGGGACTGGTTGAACTTTTTTAAGTTCTGGTGTTCATTGGGCTACGTTTTGGTGTGTTTGGCAGAACAAGCCCTCTGAAGGAACTTTGTCTTCCTCTATCTTCATCTATGTATGAGGTTGTATGAGTACTGACCTGTGTGTTTAACAGAGGCGCTGGTTTGATGTTTGGGAAACCAAGGCCTCTGAAGGACGAATGCTCTCATCAGTCAGCACACATGGCAGCGATGTGCAGCCTGCAACATTAAATATCCCTCTTCTTCCAAAAAAACCACGGTGCCAATCCTGTGTAGGGAAGCCAGTGGTGGATGAATCGCCAGGCATGTTTTAAAGCCTGATAGATTGCACGAGGGAAGAGAGGATGTCGACTCTTCAGTCATTTTGCACAGTAATCCAAGTCGTAGAAATGATTGGAAACCAGTCTCTTGATCAGGGACCTTCTGGTTCAGAGAATGCAGGGAAGAATGCATGTGCCGTACTGTGGGTAGGGCACAATGGGGGACAGGAACTCCTGGGAGGTGTTCCTCCTTTTGAGCGTTGGTTACTGGGGGTTACAAGTGCCTCTTGCTAACACAGGATTGGTATGTGTTATTTCCACCAGTGCATGGCGGATTAAAGGCAAGGGCCGCAGCGCAGATACTGTTTTTAAGCTGCAAAGCGGCAAACCCATACAAGTAAACAACCAAATTACTCCCACATGGAATAGATGTGGGGTGCAGGAGTATTGTGAATTCTTTTCAAATTTCACACTCTTTCGCAGCCCCTGTTTTGTTGCAGAGGTTTATAAAGAGTTATCA